ATCCACTGAGCCAAACTAGTTTCGGCTATTTTATTGACTTTTTATAGAGAGGGAGAGAGTGGGATAGAGAGACACATTGATCAGCTGCTTCCTGCACACCCAATGGGGATGTGCCCACAACCAAGGGATACAGGCCGACGCTCCATCTACTGAGCCAAACTGGTTTCGGCTACATAGGATTTTTTAAGACAGAGAAACATCAATGTGGGAAAGAAACATTGATGGGTAGCCTCCTGTGTGCCCCTGACAAGGACTGAACCTGCATCCAAGGTATGTGCCCGACTGGGAACCAAAACCTCAGCTACCCAGTGCACCAGATGCTCCAGCCAACTGAGCCACACTAGCCAGAGCCAAAGTGATTATTTGCAAAGTACTCAGTGCAAGGATATGCAGGCAATAACATTTTATATTTATTTTTCATATTTATTTATTGATTTCAGAGAGGAAGGGAGAGGGAGAGATAGAAACATCAATGATAAGAATCATTGATTGGCTGTGTCCTGCACGCCCCCTACTGGGGATCGAGCCCAAAACCCGGGGAAGTGCCCCCACTGGGAATCAAACCATGACCTCCTGGTTCATAGCTTGATGCTCAAACACTGAGCTACACCAGCTGGGCTATATTTATTTCTTAATAAAACACCTACTCAATAACCGACTGATCTAGCCCTAGGAACTGTATTTTTCTCCAAGGTTATTTCAGATTTCCCAAGCTCTATTTCTTTTTATTTTTTATATATTTTTATTGATTTCAGAGAGGAAAGGAAAGGCAGAGAGATAGAAACATCAATGAGAATCACTGATCGGGTGCTTCCTGCATGGCCCCTGCTGGGGATGGAGCCTGCAACCCGGGCATGTAGGGAGAAATAGAAACATCAAAGATGAGAGAATGACAGGAACCAAACCTAGGACCCTTCACTCTGCAGACCTATGTTCTATCCACTGGCCAAACTGGCTAGACCAAGCTCGATTTCTCTCTTTTCTTTTAAAATTTTATTTTTATTGATTTCAAAGAGGAAGGGAGAGAGAGAGAAACATCAATGATGAGAATGAATTATTGATTGGCTGCCTCCTGAACCCCACCATGGGGGATCATGCCCACAACCCGGGCATATGCCCTTGGCTGAATTGGAATCCAGGTCCCTTCACTCTGCAAGCCAATCCAGCTAGGGCCCAAGCTCTGTTTCTTAACAAAGGTGTTTGGTGGGTACTTGGCCTTCTCTATCCTGTTCCAGGCCCCTCCCTCCCTTCCTCCCTCCCTCCCAAGCTGGCTTGAAAAGTCACTGTTGCCTGCAGTGACAGTCACAGAGGCTCCTGCAGTTCTGAGGGTCCTGTCGCAAATGCAAATCCCCAGGAAGACTGATTTATGAGTGGCTAAGTGTCCACGGTGCTCCATTCAACTACTCTGACTGTTAACTGTGCCTTTTTATAAGCTAGCCTGGAAGCCTAAGCACCTCTTAGATTTTCAGTAACAAACTTACAAAACAAAGCCTGCCTGTAGTGCCACTCCCTGACACTGGATTTCCCTCAAAGGCTAGTGAAAGGCTTGTTAGCTTTGAGATACACATAAGCTCACAAAGTGCTCTTATGGAATGTTGATACAATTTTTTTGTACTATATTTATTGTTAAAGTGAAATGCACATGACACAAAACTATTTTCACCCTAGCCGGTTTGGCTAAGTGGATAGAGTCTTGGCCTGTGGACCGAAGGGTCCCAGGTTGGAGCACATGCCCGACTTTCGTTTCGGGCTCAATTCCCAGTACGGGGCGTGCAGAAGGCAGCCGATCAATGATTCTCTCATCTTTGATGTTTCTATTTCTCCTTCTTCCTCTCTGAAATCAATTTAAAATATTTTTTTAAAAACACATTTTCAAGTGTATAATTCAGTGGTATTTAGTACATTTTACAATGTCATGCAACTATCACCTCAATCTAGTTCTAAAACATCTTTGTAATCCCCAAATGCAAATAATTTTTTTTTTTTTTTTTTAGCAGCAAGCAATTTTATTATTATTATTTTTTAATTTTTTAAATCAATCTTTATTGTTCATATTATTACAAAGGTTCCTCATTTCTTCCCCCCTCCACCCGGTTCCCACCCCACCCTCTGCCCCCTCCCCATCCCCCATTGTCCTCATCCATAGGTGCAGTTTATGTTCAGTCTCTTCTTCCCTCCCTTTCCCCAATAGTAAATCCCTTTTCAGATAGTAAATCAGTTACTTAGCATTTTCTCATATCAATAATACCTCCACATGCCCAATGATACACTTCACACAAAAGACATTTCCCAATAGGTCCACCAGCCTCATCCAGGCCCCACCCAAGGCACTCACAGATCAACACCCCAGTCCTAAACTAACTCAACACATCCAGATCTAAGCCTTCATCACTTGATTCAGCAGACACTCAAGTTCCCATGAAAGTTTCCAGCCATGTCTGAGAAGCAGCCGTGGGGCAGGGGCAGGCGAGGAGCGAGCTGTTCTGGGCCTGGCTGCTCAGGGCCTGGCCTCTGTTGCTCTGGTTCATTCCACAACCAGCTGCTCCGGGTCTGGTCACTGCCACTCCCGACCTAGTTGCTCTGGACTTGGCTGCTGCTGCTCCGGGCCTGGCCGCTCCAAGCCTGGCAGCCGCTGCTCCGGGCCTGGCCACACCCGACCCGGCTGCTCCCCCGGGCCTGGCCGCTCCCAGCCTGGCAGCCGCTGCTCCGGGCCTGGCCGCACCCGACCCGCCTGCTCCCCCGGGCCTGCCCGCTCCCAGCCTGGCAGCCGCTGCTCCGGGCCTGGCCGCACCTGACCCACCTGCTCCCCCGGGCCTGGCCGCTCCCAGCCTGGCAGCCGCTGCTCCGGGCCTGGCCGCACCCGACCCGCCTGCTCCCCCGGGCCTGCCCGCTCCCAGCCTGGCAGCCGCTCAAATGCAAATAATTTTTAAAGGGGCTCTTTCCCCAAGCCCAAGGGTGGTGCCAGGCCTTTTCCACAAGGAGGCTGTGAGGACTACTAGGGTGCAAGCAGCTGGGACGTGAAGCATCCTCAGGGGAAGGGAGCCGTTGAAGGACTTCCCGGTGTGGGACTGCAAGTTCCTCCCTCTTCCAAATGACCGAATACCAAACCGTGGTCGTCAATCTTACTGCTTAGCTGGCATACTGGTTTAGGATGGTAGAGAGAAGGTAGAAGGGTGCTGGTTGTGAAACCTAGGCGTAACCCTGAGCCAGGCATGCACAAACAAGCCCCGTGGCCAAAGCCTGTAAAACCTGAGTAGGAGTCCAGGTTCAACATCTTTGTTGAACTGGCGCTTATTTGTAAATAATTTTAGGTAAGCGAGTACTTTTAAGTTCCCCCATGTGCTCACCTATGAAAGCCAAATACCACGTAAACTCAGTGTGGTGGAACGAGGGTTAGTAAACATACAAGGCCCCAGTACCTGGCACATAAAAGCACTAAGACATTGGAGTCCTTGCTCAGGCACCCAGTTCTCAATGAGGCCTCTCTAAGGTACTCAGCGGTACACTTAGAATGTGGTTAACTACTGCTAGAAATGTGGCATTTCTCTCAGCATCCTTTCATAAATAACTATAAGCTGAGGCATCAGCCAAACCCTTTCATTTTAAAAATACAAGATGTAGCTCTGGCTTGCGTGCCTCAATGATTAGGGCGTGGGCCAGCACACTGGAGGGTCTCGGGATTTCCTGGTCAAGGCAAGAACCTGGGTTGCAGATTCAATCCCAGCCCTGGTTGGGGCATGTGTGGGAGGGAGCTGATTGATGTCTCTCTCAAATCATGTTTCTCCCCGCCCCCAACTCTGTAAAAATCAATAAAAAAATTTCCTCAGGTGAGAATGAACAAAAAATATATAAGAATTAGGGATCAGAGTGGCTAATGCCCTTGTGCATGACTGAGCAATCCGGCTTTTGAACTCACATCTCCTGACTGCTAGTTTAAGCCTCTAGTCCTCTTTGATGTTGAATCCAGATTAAATGTCAGGGCTTCGATATATCAAATGTACTTGTAGAGATTACTATCCATGACCTTCCCATCTAATTGCCTCTCCTCTGCCTGTTCAGGAACAGCCCCAAGTCCCTTTTGAGGCCACCCTTCCATGGGGTCAAACCTCTCCACCCATCTTGAGGTACCCATGCCAGTAGCCCTTATTTTTTGTGGACCATAAACCCAACCCACTGTAAATAAGCAGGTTTATTATTTTTGTTTAAAATTTTTTTATTGCCAAAATCGGTTTGGCTCAGTGGTAGAGTCTGCGGACTGAAAGATCCCGGGTTTGATTCCGGTCAAGGGCATGTACCTTGGTTGTGGGCACATCCCCGGTAGGGGGTGTGCAAGAGGCAGCTGGTCGATGTTACTCACTCATTGAGGTTTCTAGCTCTCTATCTCTCTCCCTTCCTCTCTGTAAAAAAATCAATAAAATATATTAATTTTTTTTTTTTGATTGATTTCAGAGAGGAAGGGAGAGGGATAGAAACATCAACGATGAGAGAATCATTGGCCGGCTGCCTCCAAGCAGGTTTTATTTTTAATCTCCTAAGAATACCACTTGTCTAAAAGAAAGAGATCACAATGCAATTAATACTCTTATTTGTTAGATTCCTAACCTTTTCTAAGAGGAAAATTACCATTGATTTTAGATTTTATAAAAAAAAAAAAAAAACACTACAGACCCTTCTGACCTCAAAATAAAACAGACAGACAAGAAATCGCTAAACTTTTTTCAAGTTTATTTACTTTGAAGTAAACAGTTGGGGGGGGGGGGAAACGAGTTTGCTATAAGTATTACAAAAAAGGACAAAAGGTGGCAGTATAAGTGCATCTCTACATTTCACCAAGGGGAAAAAAGCAAGTTCATAACTTCACAAAAACACACAATTCAACTTTGCAAACAATCCCCAAAGTTCAGAGTTGCTGAAAGGCAAACACTTAAGGCAATGCAAACCCTTGCTCCCATCCCTCTCCTAGCAAACGTGAGCAGTCCGCGAAAGACTTCCTAATCCACCTCCTCAATGGTGGGGCCAGAGCCAGAAGCCCCTTTGGGGGCCTGAGCCCCAAAGCCAGCAGCCCCGGGGCCCCCCGCGCCCTGGTACAGTCCGCTGATGATGGGGTTACACACCTGCTCCAGCTCCTTCCTCTTGTGCTCGAACTCCTCCTTCTCCGCCAGCGTGTTGGCGTCCAGCCAGGAGATGACCTCCTGGCACTTGTCCAGCACCTTCTTCTTGTCCGCCTCGCTGATCTTGCCCTTGAGGCCCTCGTCCTCCACGGCGCTCTTCATGTTGAAGGCGTAGGACTCCAGGGCGTTCTTGGCGGCCACCCTCTCGCGCTGCACCTCGTCCTCGGCCTTGTACCTCTCGGCCTCCTGCACCATGCGCTCGATGTCCTCCTTGCTCAGGCGGCCCTTGTCGTTGGTGATGGTGATCTTGTTGGCCTTGCCGGTGCTCTTGTCCATGGCCGTGACGTTCAGGATGCCATTGGCGTCGATGTCAAAGGTCACCTCGATCTGGGGCACGCCCCTGGGGGCCGGTGGGATGCCGCTGAGCTCGAAGCGCCCCAGCAGGTTGTTGTCCCTGGTCATGGCCCTCTCGCCCTCGAACACCTGGATCAGCACGCCCGGCTGGTTGTCCGAGTAGGTGGTGAAGATCTGCGTCTGCTTGGTGGGGATGGTGGAGTTGCGCTTGATGAGGGCGGTCATCACGCCCCCGGCCGTCTCCAGCCCCAGCGACAGGGGCGCCACGTCCAGCAGCAGCAGGTCCTGCACGTTCTCGGACTTGTCCCCCATCAGGATGGCCGCCTGCACCGCCGCCCCGTAGGCCACCGCCTCGTCGGGGTTGATGCTCTTGTTGAGGTCGCGCCCGTTGAAGAAGTCCTGCAGCAGCTTCTGCACCTTGGGGATGCGGGTGGAGCCCCCCACCAGCACCAGGTCGTGGATCTGGGCCTTGTCCAGCTTGGCGTCGCGCAGCGCCTTCTCCACGGGCTCCAGCGTGCCCCGGAACAGGTCCGAGCACAGCTCCTCGAACCGCGCCCTGGTGATGGACGTGTAGAAGTCGATGCCCTCGAACAGCGAGTCGATCTCCAGGCTGGCCTGCGTGCTGGACGACAGGGTCCTCTTGGCCCGCTCGCAGGCGGTGCGCAGCCGCCGCACGGCCCGCTTGTTCTGGCTGATGTCCTTCTTGTGCTTGCGCTTGAACTCCTCCACGAAGTGGTTCACCAGCCTGTTGTCAAAGTCCTCGCCGCCCAGGTGGGTGTCGCCGGCCGTGGACTTCACCTCGAAGATGCCGTCGTCGATCGTCAGGATGGACACGTCGAACGTGCCCCCGCCCAGGTCGAAGATGAGCACGTTGCGCTCCCCCTTGCCCGTGCGGTCCAGGCCGTAGGCGATGGCGGCCGCCGTGGGCTCGTTGATGATCCGCAGCACGTTCAGCCCCGCGATCACCCCCGCGTCCTTGGTGGCCTGGCGCTGCGAGTCGTTGAAGTAGGCCGGCACGGTGATCACCGCGTTGGTCACCGCGTAGCCCAGGTACGCCTCGGCGATCTCCTTCATCTTGGTCAGCACCATGGACGAGATCTCCTCGGGGAAGAAGGCCTTGGTCTCCCCCTTGTAGCTCACCTGCACCTTGGGCTTGTCGCCGTCGCTGATCACCTGGAACGGCCAGTGCTTCATGTCCGACTGCACCACCGCGTCGCCGAACTTGCGGCCGATCAGCCGCTTGGCGTCGAACACCGTGTTCTGCGGGTTCAGCGCCACCTGGTTCTTGGCCGCGTCCCCGATGAGCCGCTCGGTGTCGGTGAAGGCCACGTAGCTGGGCGTGGTGCGGTTGCCCTGGTCGTTGGCGATGATCTCCACCTTGCCGTGCTGGAACACCCCCACGCACGAGTACGTGGTGCCCAGGTCGATGCCGATGGCCGTGGTTTTAGCCATGCCGGCGCCCTGCTCTCTCGCCGCGCTGGGCTCGGCCTTTCCTGGAAGCGGCGGTCCCGGCCGGGAACGGGAACGGGAACGGGAACGGGAACGGGAACGGGAACGGGAAGCGCGGTCTCTTCCGAAGCGGGAGGCTGCCGCGGGCTGCGGAGGCCGGTCCTCGGAGCTGCGGGTCTGCGGAGGGCGGGCGGCGACCACCGGCGGGAAGAGCGCGGGGCGGGCAGGTCGTGGCGGGCTCGCTGTTCCCTGGGGCGGGCGCTGCGCTTATAACCCCCATCGAGCCACGCCCCCCGCCCGCGCTCGCCCAATCCCCGGGCTCGGCGGGGCGGCGGGTCGGGAAGGTTCCAGGGGCTTCCCGGCGCGCCCGGCCCCCAGGCTCCCTCTGGCCAATCAGCGCCCTGGGCGCCGCCCTCCCAGAACTCTCCAGACGCTTCTGGGCCCGAGGGGCGGGCTCAGTGCTGGGGGGGGGGGGGAAAGAGGGGCGGGCGGGGTGCGGGGGCTGGAGGGCGGACTGGAGGGGCGGGGAGGGGGTCCGTGGCGTGGTGCAGGGCGGGGTTAGGGGAGGGGCGGGGGCGGGGCTAGTGGCGGGGCGGGGCGGGGCGGGGCGGGGCCCGTGGAGCGGCGGCGGTGACGCTGGGAAGGGGCAGCGGGTCTGAGGCGCTGACGCGGCGCCCACAGTCGCGTTACAATGGCCGCGGCCTCTGACCTCACGGCTCGGCTGGCAGCAGGATGACAGGGCGGCAGCCGCTCACAGCTTTAGGGCGGGCGGGCGGGAGGGGGGTGGGGGGACACCGGCTGCGCACCGTAGATGTTGAGGGGGTGCCCACCGACTGGGGCTTCGCAGTCCGAACGTTACCAAGCTGGAGCGAAGGCGCAGGGAGAGCAGGTGAAGCGGCAGGGCTGTCTGTCAGGGTGGGTCCCGGGTGGGACGTGCTGCAAGGCTCCCAGGTCTGTTCAGTCTGAGGTGTGAGGTGCCGCCAGCCCCCGAGGGGCCCTTTGAGGAGCGCAGGTGCGCGGCCGGTCACTGCCTGGGAAAGGGGCGGAGGGGCTGGTCTGTCAGTGTCTCTGGATGGCAGGATTGGTTTAGCTCAGTGATCGGCAAACTTATTAGTCAGCAGAGCCAAATAGTCAGCAGAGCCAAATATCAACAGTAAACGATGAAACTTCCTTGGAGAGCCAAATTTTTTAAATTTAAACTTTTTAAAAAAATATATTTTATTGATTTTTTACAGAGAGGAAGGAAGAGAGATAGCTAGAAACGTCGATGAAAGAGAAACATCATAGACCAGCTGCCTCCTGCACACCCCCACTGGGGATGCACCCGCAACCAATGTACATGCCTTTGACTGGAATAGAACCTGGGACCTTTCAGTCCGAAGACCGACGCTCGACCACTGAGCCAAACCGGTTTCGGCATAAACTTAAACTTCTTCTAGTGCCACTTCTTCGAAATAGACTCACCCCAGCCACACTCAAGGGGCCAAGGGGCCACATATGGCTCTCGAGCCGCAGTTTGCCGACCAGGGGTTTAGGTAAAAGGTGAGTCAGGCCGGGACCGGTTTGGCTCAATGGATAGAGCATCTGCTTGGGGACTGAAGGGTCCCGGGTTCGATTCCGGTCAAGAGCATGTACCTTGGTTGCAGGCATATCCCCAGTAGGGGGTGGGCAAGAGGCAGCTGATCGATGACTCTCATCGATGTTTCTGGCTTTCTATCTCCTTTCCTCTCTGTACAAAATTAATAAAATATATATTTTTTAAAAAAAAGGTGAGTCAGAGAGACTACTGGGAGCGGCCATTTCACCTGACTTACTCCCACAAAGCCCTAGTAGAGGGTACAGGAGCCCAGAAAGGCAGCTAAGCCCACATGTTGTGGTTACTGTGTCTGCAGAGACCAGAAGGTAAATAATTTTAAGCCAGCGGGAGTCAACCTCGGAGTAAAGATGTCAGAGACGTAGGACAGGGCAATTGCGTCAGGACCTGTGAAAATTGAAAACAGGGACACCCACTGTCTTCCCACAAAGAATGCTTTTTTCTATCTCTCCAAAAGCATGGAAGCCCTAGCTGGTTTGGCTGAGTGAATAGAGCATCAGCTTTCCGTCTGAATGGTCCTGGGTTCGATTCCTGATCAGGGGCACATGCCAGGGTTGCAGGCTCAATCCCTGCTAGGGGTTATGAAGGAGGCAGCTAACCAATGATTTTCTCATCATTGATGTTTCTCTCTCTTCCTCTCTGAAATCAAACATATTTTTTAAAAATATCGGGTCTAGTAATAATTAATGTCGTTTTTAAACATTCGTTTAAAATCTTGCTTGGCGTTGACTTGTATTGACATAACCTTCAAACACGTGGTATCTACAGAACGTGTGAAGTGCAATTAACAAGTTTTGCTTGAAAAAGTTTGTGTTTGGTTTGGTTTTTGTTGCAAAACTAGGGCTAAGTAGATGGCGGATGAAGAGCATATTCGGCACTGCATGCTTTACGAGTTCCAATTAGGAAAAAAACCAAGTGAGGCTGCAAAAAACATCTGTGGTGCTCTTGGTCAAGATGCAGTTAGCGCCAGAAAATGCCAGCGTTGGTTTGAGAAATTTCGCGAGGGAAATTTTTCGTTAGATGACAAGAGTGGTCGAGGCCGTGTGTCCAATTTTGATCAAGAAGCTCTTCAAGCTCTTTTGATGCAAAATCCTCAAATTACCCAACAAGAGCTTGCGACAACTTTAAATTGTTCACAAAAAACAATTTCCAATCAATTGCGTGCACTTGGCAAAGTCCAAAAGTTTGGAAAATGGGTTCCTCATGAGTTGACCGATAACAACCGTAATCAAAGAGTCACAATTTGCAGTTCGCTCCTCTCTCGTCAAAACCGTTTGCCGTTTTTAGAGCAAATTGTTACCGGAGATGAAAAATGGGTGCTGTATGTTCATTTGAAAAGGCGGCCTCAATGGTTGGACAAAAATGAGGCTCCGCAGCCCACGCCAAAACCTGACTTGCATGCGAAAAAAGTGATGTTGTGTGTTTGGTGGAATTTTAAAGGAATTCTTCATTATGAACTTTTACCATCTAACCAAACCATTACAAGTGCAGTGTATAGTGCCCAATTGGAAAGGTTAGCCCAAGCTTTAAGAGAAAAAGAACCCGCGCTGATTAATCGGAAGGGCGTAATTCTTCACCACGATAACGCACGACCGCATACTGCAAGAATCACTGCTGAAAAACTGCGCCAGTTGGAATGGGAAGTTCTCCCTCAACCTGCATATTCTCCTGATATTGCCCCTTCCAATTACCATTTGTTTTGTTCTTTGCAAAACTTTCTTCTTGGAAAAAAATTTAATAATGAAGAATGCCTCAAAAATGCATTGACCGAATTTTTTGCATCAAAATCACAAGAATTTTACAACAGAGGGATTAAAATACTTCCTGAGCATTGGGCACAAGTAGTAGAAAACAACGGCAACTATACTGTTGATTAAATTTTGTTGTATTGTTTAAATAAATTCGATTTTAAAAAGTATTAGAAAACGACATTAATTATTACTAGACCTAATACATGCCCTTGACCAGAATCCAACCTGGGACCTTTCAGTCTGCAGACTGACACTCTATCCACTGAGCCAAACTGGTTTCGGCCAAACACATTTTTTAAAAAAAGCATGGAAGATTGTCTGGAAGAGGTATTTGCACACCAAAAAGAAACTTGTGCCCAGGGTTCATGGCAGCATTATTCACAGTAACCATGAGGTAGAAGCAGCCCAAGAGTTCTGGAGGGAGTAAATGAATAAAATGTGGATATATAATGCAACATTCAGTCTTAAAAAGAAAGGAAAATGAGACACATGCTATAGTGTATAATTCCACTAATCCGTGCTATCCAAAGTAGTTGAATTCAGAGACAGAAAGTGGTGATTTGGGGAATTGGGAATTTCCTCTCTGTGTTTGGGCTATTCGGTTCTTTCTGGGCTGCTTTGTAGCAGTTTGAGAGTTGTGAGCATCACCTGCTTGAACTCTTTGGGGACAGAATCTAGGAGGAACTTGAGGCTGAGCTAGACTTCCAATGGACTCACCAGAGCGACTCAGCCCACCCTCGGCCTGAGAGTTTTCTCAGAGGCCTGATGAAGAAGAGCCAGCTGGCATGCAAGCTGTCTCAGAAGTGCTAGCAAAGAACCTTAGTAACTTGACTGTCAATCCTAATACCAAACTCCCTTCCACCAAAATGGTCGCCCCCAACAGCAGAACAAAGAAAAACTTCACGGGGTCTGGGCTGGGGCTGAGGCAAGTCACGAGGAGATGAGTGAGGACAGTGGCAAAGGTTTGGAAAGAAATGAAAGAAAGGTTGTGATGAAGGGTGATAAGGACTGAGGTTATTATATACCACGTGTCTGAATCAATCAGGAGGCCCAAGATTTAAATGTAGCTGTAGTTATTGGCTATTACATGGAGATCCTTCTAATGGTATTATCATTGAGAATTATGACATGAAGTCATTTAGGTATACACCTTATTCTTGAACTTATTTGAATTGTAACAAATTTTTTTGATGTGCTGTTTCCATTTTTAGTAGCAAATGTGTGTAGAGGGCATCTTATTAAAATTTTGAGGCATAGCTGAAAAAGAAAATAAAAAAGAAAGTGGTGATTTCCAGGAGCTGGTGGGAGTAGGGGATGGTGAGCTATTTAATGGACATAGAATTTCAGTTTCTGCAAGATAAAGAGTCCTGGAGATTGGTTGGACAATAATGTGCATGAACTTACTACTGAACTGTACAGCTAGAAATGGTTCAGATGGTAAATTGCATGTTACATGTGTTTAGCACAATTAAAAACAGTACACAGACTAAAGTAGTACCCTGCCAAGACTTCATCTCACTTTTTCTCAACAGGTCTCGGAAAACCATGGCTGCTGCTAAGGGGATGGCCATCGGCATCGACCTGGGCACCACGTACTCGTGCGTGGGGGTGTTCCAGCACGGCAAGGTGGAGATCATCGCCAACGACCAGGGCAACCGCACCACGCCCAGCTACGTGGCCTTCACCGACACCGAGCGGCTCATCGGGGACGCGGCCAAGAACCAGGTAGCCATGAATCCTCAGAATACCGTCTTTGATGCCAAACGCCTGATTGGCAGAAAATTTAATGATCCTGTGGTACAATCAGATATGAAACTATGGCCTTTTCAAGTCATCAATGAAGGAAGCAAGCCCAAAGTACTGGTATCCTACAAAGGGGAAAAAAAGGCTTTCTACCCGGAAGAAATCTCTTCTATGGTGCTGACTAAGATGAAGGAGACTGCTGAGGCTTTTTTGGGCCATCCCATCACCAACGCTGTGATCACCGTGCCCGCCTATTTCAACGACTCTCAACGCCAGGCCACCAAGGATGCAGGCGTGATCGCAGGTCTCAATGTGCTAAGAATAATCAATGAACCAACTGCTGCTGCCATTGCCTATGGCTTAGATAAAGCAGGTCAGGGAGAGCGACAGGTCCTGATCTTTGATCTGGGTGGAGGCACATTTGATGTGTCCATTCTGACCATAGATGATGGGATTTTTGAGGTGAAGGCCACGGCTGGGGACACCCACCTGGGCGGCGAGGACTTTGACAACAGGCTGGTGAACCACTTCGTGGAGGAGTTCAAGCGCAAGCACAAGAAGGACATCAGCCAGAACAAGCGGGCCGTGCGGCGGCTGCGCACCGCCTGCGAGCGGGCCAAGAGGACCCTGTCGTCCAGCACGCAGGCCAACTTGGAAATTGATTCACTTTATGAGGGCATCGACTTCTACACGTCCATCACCAGGGCCCGCTTTGAAGAGCTGTGTGCGGACCTGTTCCGGGGCACGCTGGAGCCCGTGGAGAAGGCGCTGCGCGACGCCAAGATAGATAAAGGGAAAATTCATGACATTGTTCTAGTGGGGGGCTCCACCCGCATCCCCAAGGTGCAGAAGCTGCTGCAGGACTACTTCAATGGGCGTGACCTCAACAAGAGCATCAACCCCGACGAGGCGGTGGCCTATGGGGCGGCGGTGCAGGCGGCCATCCTGATGGGGGACAAGTCCGAGAACGTGCAGGACCTGCTGCTGCTGGACGTGGCGCCCCTGTCGCTGGGGCTGGAGACGGCCGGGGGCGTGATGACCGTCCTGATCAAGCGCAACTCCACCATCCCCACCAAGCAGACGCAGATCTTCACCACCTACTCGGACAACCAGCCGGGCGTGCTGATCCAGGTGTTCGAGGGCGAGAGGGCCATGACCAGGGACAACAACCTGCTGGGGCGCTTTGACCTGACTGGAATCCCTCCTGCACCGAGGGGGGTTCCTCAGATTGAAGTGACTTTTGACATCGACGCCAATGGCATCCTGAACGTCACGGCCACGGACAAGAGCACCGGCAAGGCCAACAAGATCACCATCACCAACGACAAGGGCCGCCTGAGCAAGGAGGACATCGAGCGCATGGTGCAGGATGCTGAGAAATATAAAGCTGAAGATGAGGTCCAGAGAGAGAAAATTGGTGCAAAAAATGCCTTAGAATCCTATGCTTTTAACATGAAGAGTGCTGTGAGTGATGAAGGCTTGAAGGGTAAGATTAGTGAGTCTGATAAAAAGAAAATTCTGGATAAATGCAATGAGGTCCTTTTGTGGCTAGAGGCCAATCAACTGGCTGAGAAGGATGAGTTTGATCATAAGAGAAAGGAACTGGAGCAAGTGTGTAACCCAATCATCACCAAACTCTACCAGGAGGGATGCACTGGGCCAACCTGTGGAACAGGATTCTCCCCCGGGAGGCCTGCCACAGGCCCCACCATTGAAGAAGTAGATTAATCTTATCTGGAGCTGGAGGGTCCGAGGGTGCCTCTAAGGTGAATTTGTTCCCTTCATCATCAAACACTGTATGACTCTTGAATTGACTGGACCTGAGCCCAAGTTACCACCGTTTTGGTCGAATCTCATGTGCCATCTTTTTACACTCCAGTGCCCTGTTTCTGAGTTTGGAATCAGACTCTTAGGAAAACTAGGCCCCTCTCTGAACCATTTGATGAATCTGATATTTAGTTCAAGCCTCCCCAACTTTCTTTTTCCTGTGTGGATGGTTGTCACTCAGTAAATTTGTTCCTGAAACAAATTTCTTCTGGTATCATTAGACTGTGAGTGTATCTTAAAAAGGAAAGGAAAGGAAAGTTCATGGAGAGAGCATGTGTGGTCTGATTGTGAGCTAATTGTGAATGATTAAGTTGGTAAGGACAAAGTATTTGACTTTTCATGAGCTATTGTTTCAAGCAGGAACAAGTCTTTTTTTTTTTTAATATATTTTATTGATTTTTTACAGAGAGGAAGGGAGAGAGATAGAGAACTAGAAACGTCGATGAGAGAGAAACATCGACCAGCTGCCTCTTGCACACCCCTCACAGGGGATGTGCCCACAACCAAGGTACTTGCCCTTGACCGGAATTGAACCCGGGACCTTTCAGTCCGCAGACCGACGCTCTACCACTGAGCCAAACTGGTTTCGGCAGGAACATGTCTTGCCCATCAGGCACTTTCAGCCCCAGAGGGAGCAATTGCTAAGTCATTACTATTTATATTAAATGATAGACTAGTTTAGGTGCTTAGGTTGGGTGCGAGTAGCCAAACTTCTCCTTGATGTTACCTACAGGTGGGGTCTAGATCCAGTATCTGTGCACTGAGTCCATTATTACATCTTTTTTAAAAATTTGTTTTTGTTGCTTTTATTTATTTTTAATTGTAAATATATTTTATTAATTTTTTACAGAAAGGAAGGGAGAGGGATAGAGAGTTAGAAACATCAATGAGAGAGAAACATGGACCAGCTGCCTCCTGCACACCCCTCACCGGGGATGTGCCTGCAATCAATGTACATGCCCTTGACCGGAATCGAACCTGGGACCTTTCAGACCAAAGACCGACGTTCTATCCACTGAGCCAAACCGGTTTCAGCTGTTTTTGTTGCTTTTAAAGAAATAGGGAGGGGGAGAGGAAATATTAACTAGCTGCCTCCTGCATACCCTCTACCTAGGATCAAACTGCAACCAAGGCCTGTGTCCTGATGGGGAACCAAAGCAATGACTTCTAAGAGCAAAGGCTGATGCTCAACCAATGGAGCCCCCGGCCAGGGCTGCTAGAATGTCTTTTATGTGTGTAAAACATTTCTACAGCACACTCCTGGCAAATGAGTACTTTTGTGCAAGATGAGAAATGGAGGACTTAGTATGGTCGGTCTTATTCCTTGAAAAAATATTTTCACCTATTATATCATTTATAAAAATGTTGATGACATGAGCATAGAACTATGCATAACTGCGTTTGTAGCTCTTTGTATTTGAGGGGGCACATTTGGATGTGATTGTTACCAAACTCAAGGGGTTTTCGCCAATCAGGTGCTCTGTTCAGGGTAGTTTTACTTGCAGCAAATCAAGGAGATGGGATTCATAGCCAAAGCTCTGTCTCCTTAATCATTGCTTATGTACACTTTTGGGTCAATGACATGTTGATTTCTTCTCTGCAGTTGCCCGTTTATCGGGTTGAGTTTCCTGTCCTCTTATCCTGCTTACTGCTGCCTCTGCAGAATACTGCTATATGCTAACATTTAGCAGGAAATAGCATTTAGAACTGTCCAGACCTTAGGACCCTTGTCTTAGCTAACGAAGAGGATGGCTATTTATTTCCATCCTCCAGGCAGCCTGCTTGGTTTCACTCAGTCCTTCCTAAGACAGCCCGAGGCAAAAGTGTGTAAGATATGTGGCCTGAGATGGGTCCCTGAGAGAAATATATTGGGAGGGAACCTTTAATAAAACCAAGACTTGTGCTCAAGCTTCTGATCTTGTCACTTCTTTTTTTTCTAATCCTCACTGGAGGATATTTTTCCTTTGATTTTTAGAGAGCGTGGGAGAAATATCAATGTGAGAAAACACATCAATTGGTTGCCCGCAGCACAGCCCTGACCGGGGCCTGTTGTGGAGGGACCGAATCGAACCCGGAACCTTTTAGTCCGCAGGCTATGCTCTAGCCACTGAGCCAAACCGGCAGGGCAGCGCAGCATTCCTTTTTACTTTTAAGGAAGTGTAACAGACACAGAGTGGAGAGATTCTGGAGTCTCACAAACTCCCCAGCAGCTTCCAACAGGCAGTCGCACTGGCCGCCACTGGGAAGAGGAGGGAGGGCATCCTCCGCCCCAGGCCGGCCGCGCCTGCGCGGTGAGCCCGGGCGGAGGCCGCCGGGAGGAAGCCCCGCCCCGGCCCCTCCCCCTCCCCTGAGCCCTGCCTCGCGGACCCCTGTGCCGCCGGGCGCCCGCTTCCGCACCCCGAGCTCCCGGCGCTCCCGCCCCGCCGGCCCCGCGCCGCCCGCGCCGCCCCGCGCCCGGTCCCCGCCCGGCCTCTGGCCCCGGGCCCAGGCCCCCGCTTGCCCGGGCCGGCCGGCTGCCCGCCGCGCGAGCACCATGGTAGGTACTGTGACGTCACAAGGAGGCGCCCTGGGGAGAGCGCGCGTGTCGGTCGGTTGGGGTCTGGGTGGGGGTCCCGGCTGCGTCCGGGGTCCCCTCCGCCCTTAGTTCCTGCATCTCAAGTTCCCCGGGAAGGCATCTGGGACGCAAGGGCTTTTTTCCCTTTGAAGGGAAAGTTTAAGAACCCGAGGGAGAGTCGGCAGGGACCGGGAGAGGGGAAGTCAGACCTCAAGGAGCACTTTGTCGACGGAGACCAGGCTTGGGGGGATTGCGGGGGCGGGGGAGGACCCAGGAGAGAGGGCGGACTGAGAGCGAGCTCCAGAGCCCGAGGGCGCCAGGGCGCAGGAAGAGCGCGCGGTCGCTGGGGCTCTAGCAGTCCCTCCGTCACCCAGTCTTCTCTCGGGGGAGCCGAGACCTGCCCCGACCTGCCCCGGTGAGGGTGCGGGGTGAGGGTGCTGGGCGGATACCGGTGTAGCAGAAGGCCGCTCCTTGCCGTGTCTCTTCCCGTGTGATGGTTTCCCCTCTCTCCCCAATAGCTCTTCTATTCCTTTTTCAAGTCCCTTGTGGGCAAGGATGTGGTCGTGGAACTCAAGAATGACCTGAGGTAGGTACCTATTTCAACAAGTCTGCAGGGAGTGGATGTGCCCAGAGCCCTGAAACCTATTGATTTATTTATACTTTTTATTTATTCATTTAAAAATATGTTATTTATTTCATAGAGGAACGGAGAGGGAGAGAGATAGGAACATCAATGACAAGCGAGAATCATTGATCGGCTGCCTCCTGCATGCCCCCTACTGGAGATGGAGCCTGCAACCCAGGCTTGTGCCCTGACTGGAAATCGAGCCATGACCTCTTGGTTCATAGGTCAGTGCTCAACCACTGAGACACACGGGCTGGGCCCTGAAACCTCTTTAATTGAACAAGTGTTATTTGAGGGCTGGGTAAGGTGGGAGAGAGAAAGAATGACTGGTGCCTTAAGCTGACAGATGAGCTGTGGAATTGTTTCTTGTATTTGAAAAGAAATACAAAGAAATACATACCTATGTATACAAAACCCTAAGCAACCAGTCGACTGCTGTACTAGTGTACTGTTTGGTCACTAGGATGCACACTGACCACTAGTGGGTAGGCGCTCAATGCAGGAGCTGCCCCCTGGTGGTCAGTGCGCTCCCACAGCGGGAGCACTGGAGCCGGGGCAGCAGCAGCAGGTGCAGTGGGGCTGGGATGAGCCAGAGCAGCACAGTGCCCAACCTGGGCTTGGGCTTCTCCCTGGCCGCCTGCCATTTCTCGAACTACTACATCCCTCGGGGGATATCAGACTGCAGGTTTCAGCCTGATGCCTAAGGGTCCCGGGCTGCACGGGCACAGGCTAGGCCGAGGGAACCCACCAGTGCACATATCTGTGCACCAGGCCTCTAGAACTATATACAGAGTTAGTACAGAGAGGTCAGAGGCTGGAGGCATCAGCATTTTTTCTGATTAAATTATATACTCCTTTGACCCACGAGTCAGTTCCACAAGTAAAGATGTAAGGACAAAGACGTTTGTAAGTTTTCTTTGCAGTAACCAAAAATGGAAAACAAGTGGCTATCCATAGGGACTGGGTTAAATTGTGGCTTCTATGTTCCACAGCTGTCACATCAGAATGAGATGTGCTGATGTGGAAAGTTGTTGGAAAATAGTATATGTGGCATAATCTCCCTTTTGCTCAAGAAAGTGTAAAGGATAAACAGGAGACCAATCCCTTCTGACTGTATTGCTTTTCCATTCCTTACCCCTTATATCATAACGCCTAATCATCTTTCAGAATTGGGAATTAAATGCTGTATTCTTGGACTTTTCCTGTTTTTTCTAGCCAAGTTGATCCTTCTACCAGAGTCTTATTTTCTTCGTAGTGGGTGCTTCTCAAATTGTGACTTCAGAAAAATGTTTACTGTTTTAGGCCTGTCCTTCAGACAGGGCCCTGGACCATGTTTAAGCTCACCATCGTTTCTAATGTGGACAATAAGCGGACACATAGTAGGAGCTTAATGTGTGCTGAAAGCAGAGTAGCTAACATTTGAGAACTCCTTTTCAGTAAGCCCTATTCTGCATACATTTAACTCATTGAATTCTCATAACACCCTGTGACATATACTGCTGTTGCTGCTTTACATGTGAGGAAATTGGAAGCTTGGATAGGTTAAGAAACTTGCTCAAGTCTATGCAACTAGTAAATGACAGCAAAAACTGAAATCCAATTCTGTCTGGATTATCTTTTTTTTTTTTTTTTTTTTTGAGCAAGAGGAAGGGGGAAGAGACATTAATTTGTTGTTCCACTATGTATGCATTCATCGGTTAATTCTTATGTGTGCTCTGATGGGGGATCAAACCTGAAACCTTGACATAACAGGTCGATGCTCTAACCCACTGAGCTGCCCAGCCAGGGCTTTTTTTTTTACAAGTTATAAACAGGATCATGTTCTCTCTGCAGTTTTGAAACTTGCTTTTCACTTAGCAGATGTGGATATTTCTCGTCAATAAAGGTGATCTTTAACTTTCTTAATGTCTGCATGGCATCTTTATTAACCAAGGCCTTGCTGTTGGACAGGCATTTTCCAATTCTTTAAAGCATTATTTAAAAAATGTTTTTATTTCCTAGCCAGTTTGGCTCAGTGGATAGAGTGTTAACCCATGGACTGAAGGGCCCCAGACTCGATTCTAGTCAAGGGCATGTACCTCTGTTGCGGGCTCAATCCCCAGCCCTGGTTGGGGCACGTGAGGGAGGCAGTCAATCGATATGTCTCTCTCACATTGATGTTTCTCTGTTTTTTCCCCTCCCTCCCACCTCTCTAAAAGTCAATGGAAAAATGTCCTTGGGTGAGGATAAAAAAGTGTTTGTATTGATTTTAGAGAGAGGAAGGGTGAGGATAGAGAAAACATCTATGAAAGAGAAACATCAACATTGATAGGCTGTCTTCTGCACAGCCCTCCACCCCCAATCTGGGACTGAGACCAAAATCCGGGCATGTGCTCTGACCAGAAATTGAACCTGTGATTTCTTGGTCCATAGGTTGATACTCATCCACTGAGCCACACTAGCTGGGCAGTTTCCAATTCTTTAGGGGGAAGATCCTTTAAATGAGAGGTCCATTTAAAATAGAGCCAAAACCCATTTGGCTCTGTGGATAGAGCATCGGCCTGGAAACTCAAGGGTCCCAGGTTCGATTCCAGTCAAGGGCATGTACCTTGGTTGCGGGCACATCCCCAGTAGGGGGTGTGCAGGAGGCAACTGATCGATGTTTCTCTCTCATCAATGTTTCTGACTCTCCCTCTTCCTTCCTCTCTGTACAAAATCAATAAAATATATTTTTCTAACTCTCTCTATATTTTAATATATTTTATTGATTTTGTACAGAGAGGAAGGGAGAGAGATAGAGAGTTAGAAACATCGATGAGAGAGAGTCATCGATCAGCTGCCTCTTACACACCCCCTACTGGGGATATGCCCCGCAACCAAGGTACATGTCCTTGACCAGAATCGAACCCGGGACACTTCAGTCCCCAAGCTGACGCTTTATCCATTGAGCCAAACCGGTTTCAGCCAATAAAATATATTTTAAATAAAATAAGTGATATGGGAACAGGCAGTCTGACTCAGTTGATTAGAGCCCTATGCCCACGATTTGCAAATTGCGGCTCTTTGGCCCTTTGAGTGTGGCTCTTCCACAAAATACCATGGCCTGGACTAGTCTATTTTGAAGAAGTGATGTTAGAAGAGATTAAGTTTAAAAAATTTGGCTCTCAAAAGAAATTTCAGACATATTGTTGATATTTGGGGGGGAAGGCAGTCCTAATATCTGTTGACTGATGAGTTTGCCGACCACTGCCCTATGCCAAAAGGTTGTAGGTAGGACACCTGCAGGATGCAACATATTGACATTTCTCTTTCTCCCTCCCTCCTTCCCTTTCTCTCTGGCCAGTGTTGCTAAGTGGTTACAGTGTCGACTTATGAACCAGGAGGTCACAATTCAATTCCCAGTCAAGGCGCATGCTTAGATTGTGGGGCTCGATTCCCATGGGGGTGGGGAGGTCCGTGTGCAGGAGGCAACTGTCGATTCTCATCATTGATGTTTCTCTCCCTCTCCCTCTATAAATATATTTTAAAAATATATTTGAAAATATATATAAAAAGAAACAATAAGATATATATATATTTAAAAATACAGTATTATCTATTACCTGATTGTCCTTTAGAAAGTGAATCAATGTATTCTCTCCCCAGCAGTGTCTCTCACATTTCTGAGGTAATTGCTTAACGGAAGAAACACTGACATGGCTGAGTGGCGAGGAGAGGGATTCTGCATCAGAGATTTCATGTATGACGTGGGCAGTGCGTATGGTCCTGATGGCGTAGAGATGAGGGCCAGAGAGAGAGAGTGTGGGAGCCCGTACCAACCCTAAGCAGTTCTGGGAGTGACTTGTTTTCTTTTCCTCTTTTCTCCCCCCTGGCCTCCCACATGGCAAAACACTTAGTTTTAGCTCCAGGTCCTAAAGCAAGGACGTAAGGTGGGAAGGAATGCCATTGGACTGGGAGAGGAGCTTTCTCAGGCTTGTTGTCAGACCGCTCTCAATGAACTGAATGAAGTGCCACCACCTTATCCACTTCCTGAAGTCACCACCGCTGCACATGGTGGTGAGGTGCTGTCAAAGGCTGTTCAGCCAGGGATGTGGCGAAACCACCACCGGCGCAGCAGGCCTCAGACACTGGATTTCAAAGACAGAATTTTACAAAAATTGGGTCCAGTAGAGAACTGCCAACTTTATTTTTGGCAAGATAAAAGACATTTTTAAAAAATTGCCATTCACGATAATTTTATTTTTAAAAATTTAATACCAAAAAAATAGTAAGGACAATCAAAGAACAGCTATTTTTTAGTCCTGGTCAGGTAACTCAATTGGTTAGAGCTTCATCCTCATATATGAGCTTGTAAGTTCAATCCCTGGTCAGGATACATAAAAGAATTAACTAATGAATGCATAAATAAGTTGATTTTTTTAAAAAAAATCAATGTTTTGCCGAAACCGGTTTGGCTCAGTGGATAGAGCTTCAGCCTGTGGACTGAAGAGTCTCAAGTTCAATTCTTGTTGACTGCTTGATCCCCAGTAGGGGGTGTGCAGGAAGCAGCTGAAAAATGATTCTTTCTCATCATTGATGTTTCTATCCCTCTTCCTCTCTGAAACCAATAAAAAAAAAAAAAATTTAAATTGATGTTTCTTTCTCTTTCCCCCTTCCTCTTCCTAAAATAAAATTTAAAGTTATTGACAACCATTAGCATACAGCATACACAATACTACTGGCCTGTGTTTCCTCTTTTGTCATGGACTTCTGACACCTTTGAGCACACGTCAGTGTTTGAGAACCAGTGGTCCTAAGGAACTTAGAATCTGGTGGAGACACACAGGATGGTGAAGAGGAGGGTGGCCTGGATTGAGGTGTAAAGTAATAGGACCTTGGTTTGTAGAAATCAAACTTGAAAGAGAATTATAGAAATATTAGACATCAGCAAATGCTAGGGATTTATGGGATATGCAGGGCAGAGCTACAATTCATGGGATTGGAAGTTGTGAGACTTGGGAAAGAAGATGAACACCATCTGACAAATTTTATAAGTTGGGAGAGAGCATTCCTCACTAACGTTTCAGGGTCTCAAGCAGTGGGGAAGGGAGAGGGTATCTCTTGTCCCTTCAAGAGCAATGCTGGCTGCTTTATCTACTGTGTATGTGGGGTTCTGGTTCCAAATCCATGAATGAAACAGCTGATGGTCTGAGTCCTTGTTCATTCTAAAATTGGGCAAGTTAAACACCCTCTCTGATCCCCTGGATGGTAATAGCTACTTTGTAAAGTTGCTAAAGATTATAAAAGTGGCTATAAAAATTATACATGCCATATAGGAGAAATGTAAGATGGTAGCTCTCAAGAGTGGATTGGTATAGGGAAAGATGTATAATCTAAAATAACGCCCTTCTAGGGAGTGGGGGGGAAGGCAGTCCTAATATATGGTGACAGAAGGTTTGACTGGATGGTGAGCACATGGTTCAGTATACACACCTTGTAACAAACTCATCCCTGAAACCTGTATGATCATGTTGACCGGTGTCACCCCAATAAAGTTAATTTAAAAAAAAAAAAACTGTTCTGGAAGCACTGTCTTTCCTACTCTACGGCTTAGGAATGCCCCCTTTTGGTTCCACCTATTCTGGCTTTGTCAAGTCCTTGATTTTCCCAAATCATGTTCTTAGCTCTCAAGTCACCTCTGTGTTGACTTTGGTGTAAACTAATTTGGTTCTTCCTTTCCTCTGCCCCGACAGCATCTGTGGGACCCTCCATTCTGTGGATCAGGTGAGACAAAGCAAGAGCCCAGGACTGGTATTGGGGAAAGAGGAGGGGAGGAAGGGTGGGGTACTTGTATCTTGTCTCTATGGCTAACGATGTTGTTCATCTTCTTTCTTTAGTATCTCAACATCAAACTAACTGACATCAGTGTCACAGACCCTGAGAAATACCCTCACATGGTGAGTGAGGGCTGGTGGGAAAGAGCAAACACCTCTGAAAACAGGAGGCCCTTGGGTGGGTAGAGGAAATTTTTAAGAGTGTTGTCACGTTTGCCTACCTTTGTCTAGTTATCAGTGAAGAACTGCTTCATCCGGGGCTCGGTGGTCCGCTATGTGCAGTTGCCTGCAGATGAGGTGGACACGCAGCTGCTACAAGACGCAGCGAGGAAGGAGGCCTTGCAGCAGAAACAGTGACGGCTCCTCCACTCCCTCCCCTCTTCCAGCCCAGGACCCCTCCTTCGTACTTGAGATGTTGTTTATTGTTTTTCAATAGTGAAGGCGCTTTTTTTTTTTTTTTTTTTTTTTTTTTAAGGGGATAAGTAGACTAGAGGACTAACTATGGTGGGAGCAGCTCTCCTCAGTGAGAAGGAAGATGAGCTGTCTGGGGAACTGCGGTGTTCCTGGTCCCCAGCACCTGCCTTCCTTACTCCTTCCCCAGAGGTGGTGGGAGAATCTCCATCTCTCCAGGGCAGCATGTGATTCATTTTGGGGGTGGAAGGAACCTGTCCCGCATCGGGAATAAATGTGTGGTGCAAATTTCTGGAGTGTGTGTTTTGGGAAGGAGGCTGGAGGGTGGGAAAGGGATGTTGAGTTCATCGAGCTCTTGCCCTGCATTACCCCAGCCAAGCCCCCACGCAAGGCAGTGCCCAGCATTACTGCCGCTGCTCTGAGTGAACCGTGCGCTCCCCGGCGGCCCCCCCCCGGCTTCCGAGCACCCCCTGCCTCATGGCTTTGCTCAGACCGCACCTGCCATGAGCGCCGCTCCCTTCCCGAGGGACAGTTGTCAGACACCAAGATGCGGTCGACGCTGCTGATTTCCCTTCAACCCAGCCAGGGGGCACACTGAAGTCTGGCAGATTCTTTCAAACAAGCGACAGGTTCCCGCTGTGCGGTGGGCGGTTCCGCTCCAGGCCTCGCCAGCCCCGCCCGCGGCGCCGCTTCCGCCCCCTCCGCCGGGGGCGCGAGGACCCGCGCGGGCTGCCCGCGGCGGCGCCTGACGGGAGCGCGGTCGTAGGGCGCCCCGAGCTGTGGCCGCCCCTGTCCTATGCCCGCCCCCGGCCTGTGCCCGCGCCCCTCCTCAGAGCGCGGGGACGGCGCGCCCCGGCCCGGGTCCGAGGGGCGGCTGCACACGCAGGCGGGGCCCGGCCGCCCACGCCAGGACCCGCGCCGGAAGCGCTCGCTGTCACAAAGGCCACACGTGGGTGCTCGGGCGGCGGTCCCAGGAGCCAGGGTCCCCGGAGAACTGCCCGCCGTCCCGGCCGCCAGGCCGGCCCAGCTTCGGCCGGCGCCGGCTCGGCCTGACCCCCGCCCCCCGTACGTACCTGCGGCCCAAGCCCGCCCTGCCGGGCCGAGGGGCCCTCCGGCTCCCACTCTCCCCGAGGACCGAGCCCGGGCGTCCCCGCCACTCCGCAGCCAGACCCGGGCTCCTGGGGCCTGACGGGCCCCCGGGCCCTGGGGCCTCGGCGCCCGCGGAGAGGAGCCCATGAGGGTCCCCTCTTACTCAGGTAGGACCCGGGGCCCTCAGTCTTCGTCTCCCTCTCCTAGGTCTGTCCCACCTGGCGCGGACCCTGCGGAACCATGTCCATCCTCTACGTCTCCCCGCACCCCGATGCCTTCCCCAGCCTCCGAGCCCTCATAGCGGCGCGCTACGGGGAGGCGGGGGAGGGGCCGGGCTGGGGGGGCGCGCACCCCCGCATCTGCCTCCAGCCGCCTCCGGCCAGCAGGACCCCCTTCCCCCCGCCCCGCCTGCCCGCCCTGGAGAAGGGGCCCGGCGGGCTCTGGGTGTGGGGGGCCACTGCTGTGGCCCAGCTGCTGTGGCCCGCAGGCCTGGGGGGCCCTGGGGGCAGCCGGGCAGCCGTCCTCGTCCAGCAGTGGGTCAGCTACGCCGACACGGAGCTCATACCCGCTGCCTGCGGCGCCACGCTGCCCGCCGTGGGACTCCGCGGCTCCGTCCAGGACCCCCAGGTGAGGGGGGAAGGGGGCGGGAAGTTTAGGAGAAGGAAGCAAGAGTTGGGATGGATAATGAGACAGGAAGATAGCGTGTCGGGTGTGGGAAAAGATTGATCAAGTCCCACATGGCCACATGGTAACCTCTGAGCCTTGGTCTTCTTTTTGTCTCTGAAAACTTCCATGTTGAGAAAATGAAAAGAAGTGTGCAGAGCACACGGTGTAGTGCCAGGCGCTTTAGAGTGAGTAAAAGCTTGATGCGTCGGAAACCCACAGTAGAAGTTATGGATTGTGGGGAAAGTGGGTGAGGGAGAGATGAGAAGAGGCAGGTTGGGCCAGGAGAGATAACGGTGCCCGGAGGCGGGGTAGGAGACATGAAAAGGGGGGAAGGGAGAGGAGAGACAACCACACCAAGTTGTAACCAAGTCCTTCCAGAGTGGCTGTGCCTCTGGTCCTTATCAAACACGGTAGATACTAGTATTTCTTTTTTTTTTTTTTTTTTTTTAAAGCAATCTTTATTGTTCATATTATTACAAAGGTTCCTCATTTCTTCCCCCCTCCACCAGGTTCCCACCCCACCCTCCGTCCCCCCCCCATCCCCCATTGTCCTCATCCATAGGTGCAGTTTATGTTCAGTCTCTTCTTCCCTCAATTTCCCCAATAGTAAATCCCTTTTCAGATAGTAAATCAGTTACTTAGCATTTTCTCATATCAATAATACCTCCACATGCCCAATGATACACTTCACACAAAAGACATTTCCCACTAGGTCAACCAGCCTCATCCAGGCCCCACCCAAGGCACTCACAGATCAACACCCCAGTCCTAAACTAACTCAACACATCCAGATCTAAGCCTTCATCACTTGATTCAGCAGACACTCAAGTTCCCACGAAAGTTTCCAGCCATGTCTGAGAAGCAGCCGTGGGGCAGGGGCAGGCAAGGAGCGAGCTGTTCTGGGCCTGGCTGCTCAGGGCCTGGCCTCTGTTGCTCTGGTTCATTCCACAACCAGCTGCTCTGGGTCTGGTCACTGCCGCTCCCGACCTAGTTGCTCTGGACTTGGCTGCTGCTCCCCCGGGCCTGGCCGCTCCCAGCCTGGCAGCCGCTGCTCCGGGCCTGGCCGCACCGGACCCGCCTGCTCCCCCGGGCCTGGCCGCTCCCAGCCTGGCAGCCGCTGCTCCGGGCCTGGCCGCTCCCAGCCTGGCAGCCGCTGCTCCGGGCCTGGCCGCACCAGCCCCGCCTGCTCCCCCGGGCCTGGCCGCTCCCAGCCTGGCAGCCGCTGCTCCGGGCCTGGCCGCACCCGACCCGCCTGCTCCCCCGGGCCTGGCCGCTCCCAGCCTGGCAGCCGCTGCTCCGGGCCTGGCCGCACCCGACCCGGCTGCTCCCCCGGGCCTGGCCGCTCCCAGCCTGGCAGCCGCTGCTCCGGGCCTGGCCGCACCCGACCCGCCTGCTCCCCCGGGCCTCGCCGCTCCCAGCCTGGCAGCCGCTGCTCCGGGCCTGGCCGCACCCGACCCGACTGCTCCCCCGGGCCTGGCCGCTCCCAGCCTGGCAGCCGCTGCTCCGGGCCTGGCCGCACCAGCCCCGGCTGCTCCCCCGGGCCTGGCCGCTCCCAGCCTGGCAGCCGCTGCTCCGGGCCTGGCCGCACCCGACCCGCCTGCTCCCCCGGGCCTGGCCGCTCCCAGCCTGGCAGCCGCTGCTCCGGGCCTGGCCGCACCAGCCCCGCCTGCTCCCCCGGGCCTGGCCGCTCCCAGCCTGGCAGCCGCTGCTCCGGGCCTGGCCGCACCAGCCCCGCCTGCTCCCCCGGGCCTGGCCGCTCCCAGCCTGGCAGCCGCTGCTCCGGGCCTGGCCGCACCAGCCCCGCCTGCTCCCCCGGGCCTGGCCGCTCCCAGCCTGGCAGCCGCTGCTCCGGGCCTGGCCGCACCCGACCCGCCTGCTCCCCCGGGCCTGGCCGCTCCCAGCCTGGCAGCCGCTGCTCCGGGCCTGGCCGCACCCGACCCGGCTGCTCCCCCGGGCCTGGCCGCTCCCAGCCTGGCAGCCGCTGCTCCGGGCCTGGCCGCACCCGACCCGTCTGCTCCCCCGGGCCTGGCCGCTCCCAGCCTGGCAGCCGCTGCTCCGGGCCTGGCCGCACCCGACCCGCCTGCTCCCCCGGGCCTGGCCGCTCCCAGCCTGGCAGCCGCTGCTCCGGGCCTGGCCGCACCCGACCCGACTGCTCCCCCGGGCCTGGCCGCTCCCAGCCTGGCAGCTGCTGCTCCGGGCCTGGCCGCACCTGACCCAGCTGCTCTGGGCCCGGCTGCCCCGGGCCCGGCCGCTCCGAGCCTGGCCACTCCCGACCTGGATGCTCTGGGCTTGGCTACTGCTGTTCTGGGTCTGGCTGCTCCCACCCCGGCTGCTCTGGGCCCGGCTTCTTCGGGCCCGGCCACTCCGGGTCTGGGTGTTCCTGGACTGGCCACCCTGGGCTTGGCCGCCTCCGCCTCATGCCTGGCCGCCACTGCCCCAGGTCTGGCTACTCCAGTGCTGGCTGTTGATGCTCTGGTTCTGGCTGCTGTTGTTCTGGGGCCTGGCCGTTGCTGCTCCGGGTCTGGCTGCCACTGCCTTGTGCCTGGCCACTCTAGGCCTGGCCGTCGCTGTTCCAACATTCTGTCCTTTTTTTTTCTTTTTAAAACGCATTTATGTTGCAATGTTGGCTGGTGGGTTGAGTTCTGACTTAGTCTTTGATTTTTCAAGATCTTCTTTGTATTCTTTCTTAAGTAATTTTACTATTTTTTGCTCTCACTTGATTTCTTCACATTGAGAACTTCTTTGGTTTCTTCCTCCTTGTCCTGGGAGCTCAGCAGGTTGGCCTGTGGCACCCCTTTGTTCTCCGTGGGCTCCTGTGCTGCTTCAGCCTGTTGCCGGGACGGCAGCGCCGCCCAGGAAGCAGCCCCCCTGGCCTTGGCTCCATTGCCCGAGCTCAGTGGTCAAAGGCTCAGGGGCACCCACGCCCCCAGGGGCCCCATGGCCCACCTCCTTGCTGGTGCCCGGTTGGCTGGAGTCCGGCAGGGGCTTCCGCTCCCCTCCGCGTTCCCCCAGCCTAGAGCTTTTTTTTTTCTCCTTCCCGCTAGGGAAGTCCAGCATCAGAGTCAACAGACTGTCCTCTGCGCGCAGTTTGCGCGAGTCCCACAGACTGTCCTCTGCGCGCAGTTTGCGAGAGTCCCGGGGGCCCGGCCTTTCGCCGCTCTTCCCGGACTCCACCTCACAGCCCCGTCTCC